GTATGAATGTGTATACACACACACACACACACACACACACACAGGTAAAAAAAGGATATATGCAGTGTTATCTTCATTTTAGATGTCAAAAGGGTCTCTCTCTCTCTCTGTCTCTCTCTCCCTCCCTCTCTATCTGCCCTTGGTCTGCCACTCCTCTTCCCTCCCCCCCCCCGCTCTCTTTCTTTCTTTCTCTCTCTCTCTCTCTCTCTCTCCCTCTCTTTCTATCTCGCTCTTTCTCCCCCCCCTCCTATCTGCTGCTCACCTGGCAAGCTTCAAACTGTTGTCCAACAAGCAACCTCGTCTCTTTTATGACTCATGGACTTCAACTCCCAGAATTCCTGAGTCAGCCTAGCTGGGCTAGCTAGCTCTCTCCTGCCCTTCCTGCTTCCTGCAGAGAGCAGCAAAGGGAGGAGGTCCGCCCAGTAAGCTTTTCAGCTCCTCGGAGAATACTGTGAGTGCACTCTCTTTTACACATACACACAGACACACACACACACAAAAACACAAACACAGAGAGAGAGAGAGAGAGAGAGAGAGAGAGAGAGAGAGAGAGAGAGAGAAGCAGGGACGCGCAATTGCCTCTCTCTGTCTCTGTCTCTCTCTGCAAAGGCAGAGGAGGCTGGGAGCCACAGGGGAAGGCTCAAAGAGCCGCATGCGGCTCCGGAGCCGCAGGTTGCCGACCTGTGGTCTAGCCAGTTCTATAAAACTCCCTCCAAATTCTTTTTGATGAACTTTCCCTGTTCATCTAATTCCCTGGGAGTCATAGAATACGTTTTTGGCTTTGGTAGTTTCGCCCCTGGGATGATCTCTATAGCACAGTCTGTGGATTGGTGAGGGGGGAGTTCGTCCGCCCTCTGTTCACTGAAAGCTTCAGCCAGATCTCAGTATTCCATTCAGAGGGCTTTCAAGTCTGACTCACTGAGGGCAGAGGCAAAATCATGATATAATCCACATCTCCCGCGTTTCCTTTAGAAGCAGGCGGGGCTCCCCTTTGTGGGAATTTTAACTGTCCTTCCTCCAGTTGACCATGGGGCTTCATTTTTTTAACCAGGCCAAACCCAGAACTAATGACCATTCCATCCCTGGGGCCACAATAAAAGCTAGAGTCTCTGTGTGCTCTCCCAGGTCAATACATAGCTGTCTGGTGGCAAAGCTGGAAGGTACCCCCCCCCTGCAACCGAGCCATCCAGTTGGCAGAAAGTAATTGGGGTTTTTAGTCTCCTGAGGGGTATTCCCATTTTCCCCACTAGTTCTGGGCTAATCATGCATTGGGTACACCCCGAGTCCACCAGGGCTGCTAGCTTTATTGTCTATCCAGTATCAGGTATAGAGAGTTCTAGGGGCACTGTTACAGGGTCAATTGACCCACTCATCCTCGTAGTCGTCTTCCACCACTCCATCGTAGTGTGGAGTTGGAGCTCTACCCTCTTGGTTGCGATCCCAGGGGAGCTCTACGACTTCCTCAGACTTCATTGCAGTCTCCCTTGGGTGCTGTGAGGTACTGGGTGGTCTCTCAGCTGGTAGACAATCCTCTCTCTTGGCAGGTGTTTTGCTGCAGCAATCCACGGCTTGCTGTCCCTCTTTACCACATTTGAAGCAGGCAGTGCTGCGAGATGGGGCAGGCGAACTTCGTGCGGTCTCCCCTCGCTTCTCTGACTGCAGTTCGAAGCTTGGTCTCCCCGGGTGATGTAGGTGCTTGCGTTGATTGATCTCCACTTCCTCGGCTAGCAGGCACCAGTCATATAGCCACCCTGGGGCTCCATGGGCTATGCAGGCATTGTACAGCTCTTCATTGAGCCCATCCTGGAAACAGCTTACCAGGATGTCTTCTGGCCAGCGAAGGCCAATTCTCTGAACTCTTCAGTGTACTCAGTGACTGGTCTCCTTCCCTGCTTCACCATCTTTATGCGCTCCTTGGTTTTTTTAGCCGCTAGCCAGTCCTCAAAACATCTACGAAGAGCTGGGCCCAAGCAGAAAAAACATTTCTTCTTGATGCTGGTGGCCTGAATTCCTTGCCCAATGGGGTCTACAGCAGGCTGCTTCTGCTTGAGTAGAGCACGCTAGTCCCATTGGGGTGAGACGGCTCCTCAGATACTCTATTTAAGAAAGATTAGTAAAACAATATCTCCATTAAATGATTCCTCATTTTAGAGACTTCTAAGTTCAGGGAAGGAAAGACAGTAAGATAGTCCACATGTTTATGTATGATCTTCCCTCACATAAATTCTCATAATAGCTAAGAGGATATTATAGTAGCAATTCACTTTTTTTCTCTTTGGTAGAAAGGGGATGAGGTTTAGTTATTGTCAGACCTTAAGGATATGACACTGATTACTTTTGCAAGTTAATCAACTGGAAGGAACACAGTTAGCTCCTGGTAATCTCTACATGTACTTAGCATTTGAAGACTGGGAGCTATTACTGCATCAACTTCAAACAGCTATGGAGGGCTACAAGTGGAATGATGTGGAAGTGTCCTATAAGGCACGAAGGCTTTTTTGCTATACTTCAGATATTGCTGGAACAGAGAAGCAGAGTATAGTTATTTACAAGGATATTGTGTTTATCTTACAATCTTAGTAATTTTAAACTGTGTGGATTTCCACTCCCAGAATTCCCCAGCCAGCATGAAGTTTAGTAACATTGTCTTAGTAGTCAATAAACTAATATAACATTGTATTATCTCTCTTTCTCTCCCATATATGAATATATTTATTTTCATGCTAATAAATACATGATATGCTAATCCCTAAACAGATTGAAGAACCAGCCCTGCACTTTTTATTAAACACCTCAAATAGATAATAGACAGTACTCCTGAGATGTTCAGGTAGTCCTCAACTTACAATCATTTATTTGTATCAAACTTAACATTTTAGGGACTGCTCAAAGTTACAATGACATTGAAAAAAGTGACAACTAGTCCTTGTATATATGACCTTTGCAGCATCCACATAGACACATTATCAAAATTTGGGCACTTGGCAACTGGCATGTATTTACAATGGTTGCAAAGTTCCAGGGTTAGGTGATCACAATTTATGACATCCCACTCAGCCTCTGACAAGCAAAATCAATGGGAGAAGCTGGACTTGCTTAACATGATTTACCTAACAACTGCAATGATTCACTTAACTATGGCAAAAAAAATCTTAAAATCAGGTTTGACTCACTTAAATGCTTTGCTTAGCAACCAAAATTCTGGTTCCAATTGTGGTCATAAGCACAGGACTACCTGTACAATTAATTTTGACACCTGGAAATTATAGACATATAATTGGACTTGGGGTATTCTAAGGCAGTTATCAGTTCTTTAAAAAAAACATTTTTAAAAAAATAATTGGCCAGTTTTGAATCCTATGTTGGTTGTCCAGAGATGCATTTTGTAAATCAGGCAACCATGTAAATAAATAAAATCATAGCTTGAATAATCCATTGTTGTCTGATTTACCAAGCTAAGACATAAAATCATGCTTTTTATAAACCACAACTGAATTTACACATTGCATTAAGTCAAAATCAAACAAACCACATTACAGTTTTGGATGGCATCTAAGATCATTACTCTCTCCTTTTAAGAATTCAAATTCAAGGCATATCTACTTTACAGCTGGGCATGAAATGTTTAATTATTAAATATCATAAGCACTAATAATATGAATAGCAGATTGAGATTTTCAGTCTTTACTAATAGCATTTATTTTATACAACATGTTTATTATTTACTCTGGATTAGATTTGGAAGGCTTAATTCTAAAATGATGTTTTCAGCATTAGAACTTGAATCTTTCCTAGAATATTTGGAAACTACCTAGACTGGTTGTTTTGAATATGTGCGTCATCGTTTTTTCCTTACAGAACTTAGCAATGTAAAAAGTCATTATTTTAAGGTCAACTTTTAACTGCAGAGAGGGCACCCAACCACACCTCACTAAAAGTAGTCATTAATGAGTTAATCTTTTATTTGAAGACTATTTCCGTCCAGTGAAACTGCACACATCTGTGCCCTGCTTCATTGTTTTAAACCTGAATGGCCAGGCTGTAGATGCTCGGGATTTGCAACGAGGAAAACTGACGGGATGAAAGAGTCTCATCTTGGCGAGCGCCGCTGTGTAATTCGAGTTGTACTTTCCCCTATTAGTTACTTCTTCGTGCCTTGGCGTTCAAACTGCCTCCAGGAAAGGCGGTTAGTTAACAGGCCAACAACTTCGAGCCAGCAGACCATATGCACGGCCTCCGAGATGAATACAATCATTCCTCTTGTCGCCGTTGCAACTGGCACAGTGACACGAGCAGCCTCATTCGCTATGCTATCGTCTGAAGAGACCCAAGAGTGGTTGCTCCCAAGCTGACATTGGCAGAAAATATGGCGTTTGCAAACCAACACAACACAATGAAGTATGTGGGCGCAGGGCGGTGGGGAGGAACAGAGTGCTCCGTTGCAAAGTTATAAATATCACAACTGCCCTAATTTTCTGCGCTTGAAACCAGGGGAAAATTACACATGTTGCTCCACTGGATTGCATTTTAAATTCAGCCTCAGCTTGGTCACTTAAAAAGCAAAACGTCAATGACGATAAAGGCACCGAGGGACTTTCCCGCCTTCTGGCTCATAAAGCAATGCGAAGAAATTTCCCTGCGTTTGTAGAGCAATGGAAGCTTCGAGGGGCAACGAGAATGTAAACAGAGGAGGTTGATGAGCCGAATCTGCCAAGAAAAACCAGGCGGATAATATCCTGTTCTAATCTCAAAAGGGCAATAACTTGAAGCGGAACGAGGAAGCAAGAAAAGCGGCAGCGCCATTAATTCCCCTCCCCTCTTAGCATTCCCAACCCCCATCTTTATCGCACTCCTTCAGGCAGGGTCCACGGCAAGTCCCTACGCATGCGCACGCAACCCAACGCTCCCTGTCACGTGACTTGAGACTGCAAAGGAACTCTTCTATTGGCAAAATTTCTAAATGCCCTATTTCCTGTTTGCTTCACTAGGATCTTCTGAAGGGCGTTTCCTTTCTTGCGTCTTGCCGAAAAGCAGGGAGTTGACTTGTGTCGTTATAGGAAGTCAGAAAATGGTGGTGTTGATGAGAAATCCGTTGTCCTCGGAGTTGCAATTTGTGACGTTGCCGGTCGAAGCCTGGTCGGTTGGGGATTTTCTCCGTTCCTGGTGCCAAGCGCAGGTAAATGAGCGTTCATATGAAAGAAGTGGGTGACGTAGGCTTCCTATTGTACAAGAAATGTGTGTCTGGCTTCTTGTAATTGACGTCTTTAGAATAAACAAGCTAGGAGGAGTTTTGTTTTTCTCCTTCACAGGTGAAGCGGATACATAAATAACCTTTCCTGAGCCAAGTATTTATATATTTGTTTAGCAAATGAATATAGATATTATCGATCCGTGGCCACAGTGAACACTGCTTTTTATGGATTTTATGGGATTTTTGCCCATATTTTTGTGATTTGTGAAGCATGGCTTTGTGTACAGATGTATTGTTCATGGTGTCCTACGTAGGTAAAGAACTAGGTTTTGCACAATAATGTTTCTTCTATTGTTTAACAATTTGCTAATGTGCTATTTAAATAATCTGTTTGAAATTAATGAAATTAATTTCCTATAGATTACATACATCCTGAGCTAAATATTCTAAACTTAGTATAATTCTCTTTTTCTTTTTTAAAAATAATTGTTTTTAGGGGCTCCCTGAAGATCACTTTTATGTAAAGTGTAATGGTCGATGTATTAATTCTGAAGGTGTACTACAAGATGGAGCTCTTTACAGTGTGGAACCAAGATTATGTGGTGGAAAAGGAGGTTGGTTCACTGCTGCTTTTGCATACTAAACAATATAGTGTGTGTATTTGTTTATTTGTTAGATTACTATCTCATCTTTCTTATAGGTGTCAGATAAAATTACTCCAATGTTTTCGCATCAATAATTATGTGAAATAGGCTTGGATGAAAGATAGTGACTGACTCCAAATTATCTAATGAAGGTCCATGATTGAGATTGAATTTGTTTATTTTAATTATAACGCACTCAGCCCTGAGAAATATAGTAGTGAATCCCTATTCAGATTGTGGATCCCACAATTGTGGAGCCACAATTAATGGCTACAGAATTGGAAACAATCCAGAATCACCTATATAAGGTATATTGTACAATATACACCGGAAGATACAATGCATCAGTGATGGAAAAAGAAAGCAAATAGTTAAATAAAAAGGGGAGAGGGAAATATATTTACTGCCCATATGTTTATGCTAAAGGTCAGAATAAAATATCTGAATAGTTTGAAATAATATGACAGTAAGAAAACAAGATGACAGTCCTATACTGGCTATCTTGCCATTATAACTTCCCATTGCCAATTATTTTCTACTAATTAATGCAGTTTTGAAATGTTTGGAATCATCTGAAGTGTAGCTCCGGAATGGGTTGTAACTAAAAGCTTACCTTTCGTTTGTATCTTTGATTTTTTTCTAATGAAGGATTTCTGAATAGACTAAAAGGATTTTGCATCATGTTCTGATTCTTGGAGGATCGATGTTTCTTACACTTAGATTCCTGTTGCTGACCTATTTTAATTACCTCTCAGGTTTTGGATCTATGCTTCGAGCGCTTGGTGCTCAAATTGAGAAAACGACAAACCGAGAGGCTTGCAGAGATCTCAGTGGAAGGAGACTTCGAGATGTTAACCATGAAAAAGCGTGAGACATTTAATTAAGTAGAAAACGCCTGTATTTCGATGTTATTGTTGCATAGATTTATCAATATTTTTATAATGTATCCATCCATAGATACCCATCATGCTATTGCTTGTTGGAGTAAGCAACATTATGCAGATATCAGAAATGGAGTACATTGAATCAAATAAATTAAAGTACTGAGATAAGAAATGAAAATGTAAATGAGATAACACTCATTTAAACCAGTATTATTCACTAATCAGCTTCATAACTCCCTGTCCTTGCAGACTATAATTGCTTTCAACATATTCATTCAATACAGTGCTTCATGCATTACATTTTGTTCTTCCAACCTCTGATATTGGAGTTCTTTTTGAGAATCTCAGCTTAATGTAATCACAGCTTTTTCCTTTTCATGGTTTTCTTTTTCCTCCAACCCATTCACTTTTCCTTCATATTCTTGTTTTCTTTTCAGTTCTCATTTAAAGCAATTTAAACTACTTCTGTACTGCTCATTCACTTTTGTATTCACATTTATTCAGCACCTATTCTGTTATAATCCTATCTTATCACATCATACCCAAGTTTCACTTCCATATAACAAAATGGGCAGAAGCATACTTTTACATATTGATTTTTACTTTTTATGACATATTCATTGTTCACATACCACATGCTATCCTTTCTACTAGCGTTTACATGAATTAAAATTTTTTAACCTGATTTCCCTTATTACTAAAGTACGCACATTCATTTATTTGTGTATAACTTTAAATGTATAACTTTAAATTCCAATGTCATATCTTAGATACATGAATTTTCATATTATCAGTTCTTGTTTTCAACCAGCAGCATGGAATTTACCATTTTCAATTTCTATATATTCTTCTCTGTTTCGGGCTTAGCTATTCTTTGCTTTCCATGACTTTTTTTTTTTTTACAATTATCTTTCTATGATTGTTGGGTCATCAAGATGGCTTTGACTCTGAATCATGGCCACTTAGATAAAAGTTACTCTGTGTATATATTAAACAATATGTTATCTTCATTTTTGAAATAATCATTCTTCAAAAATCTTTAACCTGTCTTTTTCTGGAGAATATATATGAGGCATGGAATTTAAGTATGGCACATACATACTTGTGTAGTTAAATAAGATAATATTATAAAGTAAAATAATTATAACAAATCAAATTAAAAATAACAGTGAAATGAATTAAAAGTTATTAATGTGCAGAGCAAAATAATCCTACATATTTCTTTTCAATGCATGGATAAGTAACCTGGCACCAAATTGTATTCATATTATCACTTGTCAAGCTTCAGCAGCAAGGAATTTCCAAAGATAGATGATCTCATTCATTGTGCTGTACTGTTTGGGGTTCTTTGTGTTAGACTTCATAGTTGAATTCAACTGAGGTGGGCAGGACAATGAAATACATCTAGTTTAATATGGATCCTTCTTTCTTATAGGATGGCCGAATGGGTGAAGCAACAAGCTGAACGGGAAGCAGATAAGGAACAAAGGCGTTTAGAAAGACTGAAGCGCAAATTGGCTGAACCAAAGCATTTTTTTACTAACCCAGATTACCAGCAGCAGTGTCATGAAATGGCAGAGAGACTTGAAGATTCTGTCCTGAAAGGTAGCGCTGAAGTAGTTTAGTCTCTGTCCTGCGTTGCTCTTTTGGATTGTTGGGCCCTTAGATATTTTAATTAAATGCCCTGTGAATAAGATAACCTGGCAGACATTGAATATCTTCTGTATTTGTCTTCTTTTGTTTTCAGGCTCTGACCTTGTTTTCTTTGCCTTTGATTACTTGCCTGTTTCAGTATTATCTGCTTCCATATTAAAGCAATTTCTCTGGTTTGGCATTCACTATAGATATTGGATTACAACCGTGAAAAGGCTTACTGACCTTTCCCATGAAAAGCAGTTGTTAGAAAATTCAGCTTCCCTGAATAATATAATGGAAGACCCTCCCCCAATCCCATCCCTCAATCATGTTTGCATTATGCAGTCAGCTGTGTGAATGATTAATAATAAATTAAGCAAACAGTCAGAAATGATAGATAAACTTCATTTGGGGAATGAAGCAAAAAATTAAAAGTTCATCTTTTCTTTAAATTCCTGGTTTTAATGATTTAATGTTTGTATTTCATTTAACATGTTGAAGGCTGATTGCTTTGACTATGTTTAGGTATGCAAGCTTCTTCCAGCACAATGGTTTCCCCCGAAAGCAGTGAGAGTCGAAAATGGACCGCTGATTCTGGAACAGGAACACCACCAGACAAGAAAAGGTGTTTATGGTAAGTACCACATTTTAAGAAGTATAACCATGTGATAAAAATGGAAAGAAAAAAAGAGTTACTTTCCTTAAAGTTGGTGGCTATTGCCTTAACAATTCAAATTGGTGATCTACTTGTGGAATGGGATTTTCTTGTTTCCTCTGCTTGCTAGCATGTTATTGGAATTGAGGCAATAACTACTCTAAAGCTGTCTTCTATAGCTGTTTAGAACATTGAATTTTTCTGTTGATGTAATGTAATAGAATAGATATATTAGAAGCTATGTTGTGTTAAAAAATCAGGAGTGTTTTACTGATATACTCATTTTCAATATTGGAATTCTCATTTCAATATTGGAATCATTGGAAAGAGTCTTTTGGCATTCTGCCAGGCAGAATACTTTATCCTGATTGTTTTAAAAATATTTTATAATTCTATGTAATTTAAAAGTTTACCACTATTGTACTTAGATGGATTTTGATATTAGACTGTCTGCCCCTCACATAATTATGGGGCAGATTTGTTCTTTTATATCACAGATTCTGTTTCATGGTAAAAATTATATTCATGTTTTAAAATTAAATGTGACAGGTTAGGTGTAGAAGGGTTGGATGATCCCAACAGTTCAGAGAATAATAGCGATGAAGAAGATGAATCTCCTGGGACTTCAGGAAGATGTTCCACATCATCTGGCAGCCAAATCAATGTGATTGACAATTTAAATGAGTTTCCCAGGAATTCAGAGGACTCTGTAAATTGCAGTTCAGGCTCTGACGAGAAGTCAGAAGATCAAACGAAGAATGCTAAAAACGATCTACTAGAAGATCCAACTTTCAGTAAAATTGTAGCCAGTGAGAAACATAAAACAGCACAGATTCTGAAGGAAGAAAAGCATACAAATGCCTCATGTAGTGAAAAAGCTGCAAGTCAGTGTCAACATGCAGTAAGTATGGTTGTTTTTGATTAAATATATAATTCTTTTTCTTTCTGAATCCATTAGATATCTTTATAAATAGTGCATTTTGAAAACTTCATTCCATTCTGGTAGTTCATTATCCATGTCACTTTACAATATTACATCAAAGATAGAGTGGCATTAAAGCCAAATCAAAGTACAAGTAATGCTACACCATTTCCTCTTCATCCCCCAGTCATCTCTTTTTTTTCAATAATTAAACAACATTTTGTAGCTATTGAGCATATACATTCCTCATTGGAAGGGTTTTTTCCCAGTCTCTAAAATGGAGACATAAATTGACTACTTTATCAGTATAAGAACTAACTAAATTACATTTGCTATTTAGCCCTATGTGCAGGAATATTCTAATTCACAAACTTTGAAACGATAAAGCATATACAAGCCCCCAAAGCCATCTTGTTGCAGAAATGGATATTGTGGAATCACTAATATTTAACTTTTGTTCACAAGATCACTTTCCTCTTCTGAGATATATGTTTAAAATATTTTATGTTTCTGATTCTTAGGATACTGCAAGAATCAATCTGATGGAATTCAGTTCTGTTGCGGAAGTGGAAGCCTTAGGACTAGACAAACTAAAGTTTGAGCTATTGGCCTTGGGACTAAAATGTGGAGGTACTTTACAGGAAAGAGCAGAACGACTTTTTTCAGTGAGAGGTTTGGCTAGAGATCAGATTGATCCTGCTTTGTTTGCTAAGCCTTCCAAAGGGAAGAAAAAATAAAAATGGTGGCGTGGTTTGTTTTTTATACTGCAAGTTTTACAATATTCTTCTCATTCTGCTGCTTTGTATAATGTTATCTTTCAAAAGCCAATATAGTGTAAATTTGTATACCCCTTAATGCTTTAAGAATAATTTTTGTGATGATGGTAAAAGTACTTGTTGGTGGACATCTATTTTTTTATATTTGTTAGTGTTCAGTAAAAGACTAGTATATTTTATATTCATGTTTAAGTGACAAACAGAACAATATGCATTTGTGAAAAAAGTCAACATATTTTATAAAGAACATTTTTGCAAGGCTTAAACGTTAATAAATTGTAATTGTATTTGATAAAAATTAAATACAATATTGTAATACAGATAATCAGAATCAAATATACAGACACTCTGTTGAATGTATTCCAATCAGTAGTTAACTTTGTAACTGCTACAAGAATTCAGATGAACAAGAAAGAGTTACCGTTATCAGTCTTGGCAATTACCCATTAGTAATAACATTCAGACTTTGGAAGCAAATATTGTTCAGGCCTTTTTAAACAGTCAAAACTGGATAGCTATTTTAATAAATTGGAATTCTCTTTTGTCAAATGTTCATTAAAATCTTAGTTTTGCTCATAACAAAGACCAAGCACTTATTTTTGAATTATCCAAAGGTTGATTTGTTCACAATAAATGTGGATTGAATTAGGATAAAAATACATAAACAAACAATCTTATCTCTCTTCTATTATCTGTTCAATAAAAGCTGGTACCGGTATCTAAAAAAACCAAAACAATGGGATTAAGGTCTTGAACCAAAACTAGGGAGATCCAAGTTCACATTCCCTTTCAGCTGTGATTTCGGACCAGTCATTCACTATACCTCAATGTATCTCACAGGTAACTGTTTGGAGAAAGGTAGAGGAGAAAATGCTTTATGTGCTCCACAAGCTCCTGGAAGACAGGAGGGATGTAAATAAAAAGAATTCAATTATATAGGACAGACAGGACAAAGTTTATTGATATTCTCTTGCATCCTATTTTCTAATAAAGTCACATTGGCTTACAGGGGTTCTCAAATAGTTTTCCTCTCAGGCCTAGAACAACTGCATCCTGTTAAGGATTTTGATTATGTGCCTCAAATCATCAACTTGTAACAGCCATATAGTTTTTCTTCATGATGATATGCTTTAGTTGGGCACTTGGGATAACTCTGTGTGTGTCTCTGTGTGTAGAATTCTGTTTTATGTGATAAATATGTACAGTTAAGTTTCTGGATGTCTTGAGAATTGGCTGTGCAAGCAACATGTGTTTCTGAAGCTAGGTGGCTGGGAAGCTGCACATACATGTAGATCAACTCTTCAAGAAGAAACCAGCAATGCTTAAAAGAGGCAGATAGCTACTGTTTGCCTTATAAGAGAAACATGAAATGCTGCTTTCTTTGGACAAAACTGATTTCCTCAGAGGCTACTAAATATGTGAATTGACTAAACTACTGCTAGCAGTCTCACTCTAAGCAATGGTTTGGCACTGGAAGTCTAGGTCAGGGCTTTTCAACCTTTTCACCCATTGTACCACTTTTAGGATATGGCAATATCCGAGTACCACCAGTCGCCTAGCAAGGTGTCAAAAACTTGATAACCAAAAAAAAAAGGGAAAAAAGTGATGAAGTACAGGTAGTCCTCAACTTACAACACTTCGCTTAGTGACTGTTCGAAGTTACAATGGCGCTCTTCCTCCCGTCCGAAGTTTTCATTGTTGTGAGCATTTCTGTTGAGGATTGGCAGTGGGGGTGGGGTGGGGGGTGTTTGTTTTTTATTCCCCCCCCGTCTGCTGGGTGGTTGAAGCAGGTTTTGGTCACTTCACATGACCCTGGGACACTGTGACCGTCATAAATATGAATCAGTTGCCAAGTATCTGAATGTAAATCACTTCTGGGCTCAGCTGGAGCCTGGCGCTTCTGCTCAGCCCTGACAGCCCTGCAGCTCCAGCCATCTCTCGCTTAGGCTTGTCCGGTGCTGCCACCGGTTCAGCTCATTCCCCTCCCCCGCTACCATTTTTCTAGGATGGTTGCGTACCACCTGCCAGGTGCCAATGTATTACAGGTGATACCCATACCACTGGTTGAAAAGCCCTGGTCTAGGTATGGCAATTTATAAGGGCTGTTTGGGAACTGGATGGGAAACCCTTCCCTCTCCATCGAAGAACTAGGTGAAGAGCTAGCTCTTCATGGCTCTTCTAAACAACAACAGAATGGGGGCATCCAGATCTTTTTTGGGAAGGGAAGAAGAAAACCTCATTCCAGACAGTTGGTGCTGCTACAGAGAAGATATGCTTTCAGGGTTCCAATAGATGATGATATTTCATTAAAGGAACCCAGAATGCACCAACTGTGCTGGATCAAGTTGATTGGAGTGATGTTATGGTACACAGGTGGACCTTCAAGTAATCAGGCCCTATGCTATGTATGGCTTTATAGGTAACAATCAGCACCTTGAATTGCATCTAGAAACAAATTGGCAACCAGGACAGCTTGTGGAGCAGAGATGTTACATGGGCATACCTCTAGGTGAAAAGGGCAGCATATAAATTTAATAAATTTCAAGACATGCTCATGCTGTTTGTGCTGCTGTATTCTGGGTCAGTTGAAACTACTGAGTGGTCTTCATATGCAGCCCCATGTAGAAAAACATTGCAGTAGTCAAGCTGTGAGGTGATGGGTGTGAACAACTGTCTAAAGGCTCCTCCATTTTGGAAATGGGCAACTAGCATACCAGATGGAGTTGTACAAAGAGCTTCCTGGCCACAGTTAACACCTGATCTTTGAAGACCCCCTCAGATTGAAGAGGGAAGTGGAACCATATCCTGGATAGAAAGATGGAATATCTCCATTTCTGGAAATTTCAAACACCCTCAACCACTCAGTAAGATTGAGTCAGATAGTTCTTCCCCATCCAAAAGCATGCAGCTTCCAGAACTGGGACAGAACTATTATACTGCTTGTGATAAAAGTAGATCTAACAACAATTATAAACAGTGGGAAAGATTCCTTTTCAGCAGCCTGTGCCTGCTTATATGTACATTTTGATACTTTGACTTTGTATACACTTGTATGTATGCCCAGGAAGATTCACTCACAGGAAAAAGAGATTGGCAATTGCTTTCTTAGGAATGGAAGATGGGAGTGCCCAGCAGCAGGAGAATTGCCTAATTCAAGGATGTGGTTGCCTGCTGTTCAGACCGATTATCTTGCAAGCTCTTGTCTATTGTCTCAATCTACCCAAGTTCTTAAGCCGGTTTAAAGTTATCAATACAGGACAGGAGCAATTTAAAGTAAATGAAAATATGTCATTGGAAAAGTCCAGAGAAGGAAAAAGAGGGACATAATGTCAGAGCAATTCAAGTACCCCTTTCTCATGCCTGTTGAAGGAGAAAGATACCGTAATTAGAATCTACAGATAGTCCTTGACCTACAACCATTCACTTAATAGCCATTTGATGTTATGACAGCAGTGGAAAAAATAAGATGACCGGTCCTCACACCCATCCCAGCATCCCTGCAGTCACATGATCAAAATTCAGGCATTTGGGAACTGACATGCATTTACAACAGTTCCAATGTCCTGGAACTTTGAGACTTTCCCAGGAGACTTCCAACAAACTAAGTCAATGACAAACTGAATTCACTTAACGACCACGGCAAAATGATTGTATAATTGGGCACATCGCAATCACATCACTTAGCAGCAAAAGTTCTGGTCTGAGTTGTGGTAAGTTGAGAATTACCTTAATTGGTGAAGAATAAAGAAAGGGAAGGTTCAAGGCAAAGTGGCTGAAACGGATTAAAAACTGCAAATAAAGAGTCTTAGGAAGCATTGCATGAAAAACAAAAGGAACAGAGTGACTGGTAACTCATAATAGTAGTCAAGTGTTGATGGAAGAAACAGATCTAAACACACCCAACTATGGATTGTCTGGCAAGGAAAAGACCATTCTCATCTCCCTCAGTATTTAGCTTGTTTATCAAATTATTGTAACCATTATAGTTTCTCTAATGTTCAGTCAGGATCTACCCTCCTATGCCTTAACCACATTAGAACAAGCCCCTTTTTCTGACTTTGCCTGCCATGAGAAAGCCATTCCAAAAGTCTTTGAAAATATTACCATATTCCTACTCAATCTGACTTTATTCTTGTTTAGGGGAGTTGTAATCTATAGATTTTTTAGTTTGATTATGAAAATCTGATTTTTTTTGTTAAAAACAAATTAATATTAATTAAAGTACCAATGATTCAACTGATAATTTTTATTTTCACCTGCATCCTAGTACTGAACACAAATCTTAGGTCTGACTTTTAAATGTGATAGCAGATATCTGTCGTTAGAGGGCACTCGGCACCTACTGAAGCAATGAGCTGTTAGTTGGCTGACAACAGCTTGATCCTAGTTTTTATTTTCGGGGGTGAAAATGTGTTATGTCCTTCTATCTACTATATAAGAAGTTATATACCTTAGAATCCCAGCCAGAATGTAGGAGGGATTGCTGGATTGGGTACTCCATGCAAGCACAATACAGTGGGGACAAGTGTCCTACCATACATTCCAAATGTCCAGATTCCCTCTCTTTGCCTTTACCAGTTTTGAGACCACATCCTTCTTCTGAACTGTTAGGTGAAGGAAGGACATTGTTTTTATTTGGTATATTGGCCACCTCATGGTTGAGTGTCTACCTAGGCTGTTGGTCTCAAATGTGGTGGAGTCCTTAGAATTTCTTATCTTTAATAATCAGCTGAAGGTGGCTTGATGTGTATGTTTAAGGATCTTGTAGCTGCTTGAAACAAGTCAGACTTTTGATCTGGTGTTAATTCTGGAGGAAAGTGTTTTTTGTACAGGGCAGCATAGACAGATTACTTAATGAATATTGGTTGCTGCAGCATGCTTTCTTCTACAAGAGTGGAACTGCCATCAGATTTTCTACTTCCCAGAAGTTAATGTTTCCGGTTGGCTTCATGTGGTCTGAAGAATGTTTTCTTGAATTTGACTTCCCTCTCTAGCAGTACTCTGGCTGAGATGTATAATATCAAGACTTCCAAGTATTGCATGTTTGAAATGAGAACCCTTATGACCTTATGATACTGTGTAGTTTGGGGCAATGGAATGGGGATGAATCTGATCAAACCTTTTGTGGGTGCAGTGATTAGGTAGGAAAATAAGTGATTGATTTTCTTTTCCTTAATTACATTTGAAGATACTTGGCCACTTTATGAACAGATTGCATGGTCTTTCACAGATAAAATCACTTGGATCCATACTAAATTGATGTCCCTTTGGGTAATTCTGTATATTAAATACCATATCTAGCATATTGTTATGTTAGAAGCCTAAAATCTTCTCAGTTTAGTAACCTGTCTCTTGAGGTATACATTACCTCAAGCCAAGACAAGGAACACATTACCTAGTCCTAGATTCTTTGGCAAACAGCTTGAGTCATTCAAATGAATAATATGTACTAAAGGAGAGACAAGAGAAGCACAACCCCTTTCCATCTCTCTCAGTATATGATTGCTGTAACTGAGCATGATAGATTATAGGAGCACATCAAAACCTGGAGATTAGAGACATCACTTTATGGTGATTTC